CTCTCTCTCTCTCTCTCTCTCTCTCTCTCTCTCTCTCTCTCTCTCTCTCTCTCTCTCTCTCTCTCTCTCTCTCTCTCTGTGTGTGTGTGTCTTCGCGATCACCCCCTTTCCTCCGTCCACCATGCTATGCATCTCCTTGGGCCCCTTCGTTCTTCTTCGCTGCTGCACGTTGCCTCTCGATCCTCCTCGCCATATACAGTGCTAGCCAACAATCTTCCTCGACTTTGGAAGGAGGAAGGTCGCGGGCTTTCTCTCTCTCGCGCGCGGCCTCTTCTTCCAGCAACATCGGGTTGTCTCTCTCCTTTTGCAGATATGTTTGCGCCTGCATGTCGCGTTGCCTGTCTCTCTCCTGTTCAGCTCGCTGTCTGTCTTCTTCCTCGGCAGCTGCTTGGAGCTCCCATGCATAGTGTAGCTGCCAGGTGAATCGTCCATGTGTGCAGTGCACGCCATGGACGACGTCCCTCCTGTTGAACAGGCTGCCGTCCGGCCATCTTATGCTGAAGGGGCTTATGGCCCCTCCTTGACCGCCGCTGGTGCTCCTTGAGGTCGTCCTGCCTTTGCCACGGACCATCGCGATACACGGAGCAAGATAGAGATAGATAGATAGATAGATAGATAGATAGATAGATAGATAGAGAGAGAGAGAGAGAGAGAGAGAGAGAGAGAGAGAGAGAGAGAGAGAGAGAAAGAGTGAAGGAAATAGACAGAGAGAGACAGAGCGATGAAGAGCGTATGAAGATGGTATGGAGCGGCAGAGTGCACGAGTTGCACGTTCCCATGGTGCATCCTTGGCTTGGTCAACGTTTTATACAGTAATAAACGTTGACCTGGCCCGCGGCTTAGGCTATAGGAACGTTGACTTCATCGTGGGTCGGGGAGGGTACCGATGTTGACATCAGTGTGGACCTGGGTGTGGTCTCGCGTTTACCTGGGCCCAGAGTAGCTCTCGATCCTGGGTGTTGGGTCCAGGCCCAGGTTTAAGACGTTGCCCGGTTCTAGGCCCACGTTTAAGACGTTGGCCGGGCCCACGCTCTGTTGCTTTTTTTTTTTTTCTTTTTTGCCGTTTCAAAGCGCTACTCTGTCAGGCAGACAGGCAAGACGACAGGCAGACAGGCGGGTGGGCAGGCAGGTACACAGGCAGGCAGGCAGACAGGCACGCAGGCAGGCAAGCAGACAACCTGACAGGGTCTGCCTCTCTGCCTGTCTGTATGTCTGTCTGTCGATCTGGCAGGTGTTGACGTGGCAAGCAGCTGTTGACGTGGCAAGCAGGTGTTGACGTGACACACATACAGGCATGCGTGTGTGCCAGGACCTCAGGCAAGGGGTTAAAATATATATATATATATATATATGGCAGGTAATCAGACAGACAGATAGGCAAGACGACAGGCAGACAGGCGGGTATGCAGACAGACAGGCAGACAGACACCCATGCAGGCAGACAAGCAGACGGGGTGACAGGCAGACGTTGACGTGGGAGACAGACAGACGGACAAACATGCAGACAGGCCGAGGGACAGGTGTTACTTGCTAGACAGGCAGACAGGCACACAAACAGATGTTGACGTGGGAAATAGGGAGACAGACAGAGAGGCAGAAAGGCAGACAGGTAGACAGTTGTTGACGTGGCAGACAGGCAGACAGGCACGGAGACAGGTATTGAGTGTCTGTTTTATTATCTGCCTGTCTGCCTGTCTGCCTGTCTCGCAGGTGTTGACGTGGCAGACAGCCAGACAGGCAGGCACACAGGCAGACAGGCAGACGGACAGGTGTTGACGTGGCAAACAGGCAGACAGGGACCCACACAGCTATTGAGGGTCTGTTTGATTGTCTGCCTTTCTGCCTGTCTGCCTGACAGTTTTTTTTTTTTTTTCTCTTTTGTTTTGCACGAACTGATCCTGGAGCTGGACCTGAGCCCGGAGCTGGTCGTGTTCTCAGGTTTAAGTGGGTGTACGCCCTGGCGCTGAGGTCCAAGTTCTAACACGTGTCCAGTCGCACACCTTGCCCTGGCGCTGATCTGCCCCTGCAACCCAGTTCACCTGGGTCTGGGCSCGCGTGTGGTCAGGGCACAGAGGCTGACCAGCTGACCGGGCTGGTGCACACCCAGGTGCAAGTCCTGCCCGGTGTCCAGTTCCAGGGATTGACCTGCCGCTGGTCTGCGGGTCTGTACTCGTTGACCTGGGTCTGGGCCTGGGTTGTTGATTGGGTGTGCGCCTGTGCCCCTTTGAGTGGGGTATGGACCCAGACCTGTTT